CTAAAAACACTCTTTAACAATGGCTCAGCAATATAAAAAGTACAGTGATAAGAATTCAGATCGATAGAAGTAGGTCGTCAAGCGATTGAAAGAGCATAGTAATTAATTTCTTACCAGTGAATATTTGCTATCTAAACTGTTGTATACACCATACGATAGGCAAGTACGTGCATGCTGTACCATCATGAATAACGTCGACATCATATTATCACTTTATGGATTTCAAGAAGAGACAATATGATTGGTGATAGAGACAGACACACATGTAATAGAAAATAGGTAATGTTGATGTCCAACTTTAAATATTTCAAATGTCTTAGTAGTAACAATAGTTCAAAACTATCCAAGGAATGCACAAATAGGTTCTGTCATTTCTATTACGTAGTGAAATATGGATTGTCTAGTTATTATAACGTACAGGTAATCCTCGTATAACACGGCACTTCTATAGCACGGATTCACTCTAACACGGTTCGGGAATTGGGAACATCCCCCTTATAACACGGTGGTTTAATAGCACGGGTTCACTCTAACACAGTTCGGGAATTGGGTAAAATTCTCGTACAGCATGAAATGTAATAAAAGGTGCGTTCTTTTATACCTCCGCGTAACTCCGCGCGAGCATTCTATCTGTAATTGTTTTCGTGGCTACTTTGAATGCTCTTTCAACAAATAATCTATTTAATGGTTAAATTTTACAATTGGGACCCTTCTTTTGCCTCTAAAAGCTCATTTTAGAATTATAGATTCCTCCACACGATACTATCGATAGTGCGGGCGCCGCCATCTTTCTTTCACCGTCGTTCCTAAATGCCTACAAACAGCAGCGCACTCCTGTTGCAGAGCGACCGCTATCTACGAACGCATCCAAAAACTGTTATCAGTTGATGACGCTCATGCTGAGATCATCATATAGAATGAATAATCCTCTGGTAAAATATTTACTTGAATAATAAGTAAGTATTTTACCTATGAAAAAAATGAATAATAAATCTGATTTAAATAAGGATTTAACAACATGTTTTTTAATTTTCGGAACCTAACCCCCCTTTTCGCACTAGTTCTTTGTTTCGTATAACACGGATTCGCATAACACGGCAATTTTTTGGAACGTAACTCCCGTGTTATACGGAGGTCACCTGTATACAGTTCTGTTATAAAAATCATATTCACTGAATTAAAGCCAAAAAATTCAGTTGACTCGAAATGCATATGAATTGTTTCAAATATATTTAACAAAGGTTGACTTGAAAGCCCAGGAATTTTGAAAACTCGGTAAAATAAGAAAATCAGTTCTTTAATTTACGTGGTTACAAACATTTAAATTAAATTGAGTCGTAAAAGCAGATACTTGGCGATTAAAACCACTCAATAAGCACTCAGGAATAACGAAACTAAAGAATGAATCAGAATCTGCAAATATTGCAACTTTTGGTGTAAAAATATATAAGCTATACTTTAATTAATAGTTCACGAGAAAGCGTCATGTTGCCTTCGAGAAAATGTAACGGGACACTTTCTCAGGTAGCTACGAACAACAATCGTTAGTCTCTCGAATCATGTTAGCATTAAAGACTAGTTCTAATATAGGAATTTATGCTGTCTCACATCACTCCGGCCTTTTGAAAATCGGGCTTGTCCGTGCAGGTGAAAGTTCGATTTTATATGGTGATATAAGAACATCAATAGGTTGGACTTTTACTCTCTCTCTTTCTACTGTTTACATCAGGGGTGTTCAACCCGCGGCCCGCGGGCCGCATGCGGCCCAATAAAGGTGTAAACAAAACCGACAAATGTTTTAATTTTTTTATATTTATTTATTTCAACGGCATAAACTCAGAAAAGACGTTTCACATAGCCATAAACCTTTATTTATATTTCAGTTTTGAGTGGAAATGAAATATTTTTATGTACTTGGAGATGTGTGAATGAGGAAGGATTACTAAATAAAGCTGGAGTTGCGACTCAAAGGATTATAGACCCAAATTTGGTGAAAGGAGAAAAAGGACAAAAGATAAAAAGTTGTCAGAAAGGATAAATAGTTCTTCTGTTAGGCAAATATTGAGTCTTAATTTTCCAACCTTTCTCACTTCTTTATCTTTTGTCCTTTCTCTTCTTTTTCCGCATTTGACTCTATAATCCTTTGAGTCACAACTCCAGCTTTATTTAGTATTTCTTCCAGCGTTGCAGGATTTGGCTACATTTCGCCAAATGTGGCTACTTTTTTTAGTTTGACATAAAAAAATATAATTTGGCGCTTTGGCTACTTTTTGGGCTCCATATCATTTATAATTATATTAGTTGAATAAAATTGCACTTTAAAATGTTGTTTCGTCGCTTTTTATTAATCAGAGACTCAAATGAACCAAATATTTGCGTTTTTCAAATAAATGTATTTATCTATTTCTAAATAACAATTGAAAGTGTCTGTAGAAGTCATTTTTTAAAATATCCTGCTTCGTGATAAAGTTTTAAGACTTATTATTATAATCTAGACATGTTAATCCTTAAATATACTTGTATATTGGACCACAAGTATATATAATATATTCTTGTGGCCCAAAACTCCTTGACTTCTTCCAATGCGGCTTAGAGAAACAAAAAGGTTGGACACCGCTGATATAGACAATGAGTGTATATATTTTTGTTCGTAAATGTAGACAAAACTTTTTAAGAAAAATCTGTTCTTAACCCGAGTTGAGCTGACATGTTCAAAGTGAGCTGCGAGTGAAAGTAAATATCCTGCTAAACAATGGATAAAAACGAAATCGTTAAAATGTGAGAAGGACATCAGATGAGACGAACTTTCCTAAAATCCAACAAACTTTGGATAATTTGGGAGTAACACACTAATTTCCGTATTTACCAACACGAGTTAGAGTTAGAGTTAGGGTTAAATCTCGAGTTGTTGGTAAATTGGTATTCACCAACTCCGAATCTCGAGTCAAACACTAATAACACTACCTCTAGAAAATCTCTAGAGTATTACCCATATCACCCAATACGAGCTAAAACTCGTGTTGGGTGATATGGGGGTAAGAATACAAAGTCTAAGGTCAGCGATCTGATACGTCAACTGGTCGATCTGTAGATAAACTTAATCAGTGAAGTGTTTTTTATCCTACTTGTTTGTAGGGTAAAAAAAAAACACTTCTTACTGATTGTTCTGTCTAAATCGTAAATGCTTCGAGTGAAAACATTTTTGTTTTATTTTATACGGAAGAATTCTTGTTTCACAGATAGCAACCATTTTTATCAGAACGAATCATTTTAATTATATTTTCATTTTCAATACGAGGTAATAGCGTAGTTATCAAAAATCAATTATCTTAATTAAAAAGTAAATCTCAATTGAAATATTACACAAAATATCAAATCTTTTTGCTGATTATTTATCCAGCAATTTTTGCTATGTGAGAAATAAAGAGATTTTAAAAAGCAATGAGAAAAATTGGCACGTTATTACGCGATTTCTACTGCTTAATTATTAGCTTTGTGACTTAAAAAATGCAAAATATAAACAATTTTATTTATAAAAGTAAACTGTGCTCATCAAATATTTACACGTGACTGGATGATGTTTCAAGTAACTATGTTTTAATTGGAAAATCAAGAAATACAGCAACGAATTACTTAATTTTCCGGGCGACAACATTTAAAAATGAGTGTGGCTGTATTTGTTATGATATTTTATTTAAAAATTTATTATTATTAATTATTATAAAATGGTAAAAAGCTTAACTTTAAAAGGAGAGATGAGTTTCATAAATAAATTATAAATACTAATTAAGAGTAAAGTCTTCATTAAGTCTGAACCTACAAGAGCTATGACACATCAATTCCCTCTAACTCCTTATCCCGTCGGCCTTTAATTATTAAAATTTAATAGCATCAATCTCCCTAATACGCAAACCATCGTTCAAAATTTCAGAAATTTTCGACAAAAGACAAGAAAATAGAAATTAAACGAATACGCTTTAATTAGAATAAATATAAAAACGTATTGAAAAAAGGATGATGGAGTGATAAACCGAGTGGACTGTTGACAAAGACATGATAAATCGAAATCGTATGATGAAATCTTACGTGCCAGATAATTTCTTCTTAAGTGCAACTTTGAACACACGTGCCGTAGGTTCACCTCCCTTGATCTAAGAGATTGAAGAAGAGATGACTCGTTTGGCCTAATTTCTTTATCGCTTTTTAAAACAAAAAGAGAGAAATGTTTTACAGTCTTAAAAATATCTATTTTGTAAACAAATAAATATTAATTTAAATGCAAACGATATCAATCACAACTTTCATCAATAGAAATTTTAACAATGTGTAGTGAGAAAAGTGTCAACAAAACCGGAGTATTGTATATGTAATAATTCCTGCTAGTCCGTCAAGATACATTTAATAATAAATTTCATATTTGTTCCAATTTTGAAATGTATCAGCAATAATATAAAAAAGTTTTATAGCTAAAAATGAAGTCACTGCAAGGTGTTTTCCTGCAAAGGACTCGATCTCTTAAGCAGACTTACAGTTATAAGAATAAAACATCAATACACCACAAATAGCAACATGAAAAGTTATGGCAGAAAGAAGCCATCAGGTGCGGATGCCAGTAAAAAGTACAATTAAAATACTAGGAGTGTGGTTTGCAATGCGAGCAATGGAGAAACAATCACAAAAAATGATAAAGAAACTTCAAAACACATTAACAACACGAGAATATATACGGATAAATTTTTCCATAAAAATTTTACCAGTAAGAATTAAACTCGGTAAACGGTTCGTTGGAGACAGTTTAGATAAGAGAAACAATTTATTTCGAGGTTACGAACTTACGTACATTGTGTGCCTACGATTAGTGGAGTTTCCACTCCACTAATAGTAAGCACACACTCCACGTGCCAGTCTCTTTAAATACAGACAAATTTACCATACAATTTCCTTTCCTAAAGAATTTTCGTTGGTACACTATGACTCGGAAATGTATTAGAACCCGGGCTACAATCTGTATAACGAAATTTTATTTATAAATTGCGATATCAAGTGCATACGAGAAGAATGGTTGTTTAAAATCAAATGTGTCACGTGAGAACTGATAACAGATAACGACGATTGCTACTGAACTTTTCCATTATTTACATTTTAGCAGATTATTGCTAATTTTATGAATGCATTTTTATATTTTATACTTTTGAACAGTAAGATTAACATTTAACATATTTTTATCAGAATTACAAGTATGAATTAATCCAAACTCGATTCCCATTATCGCGATTACACACGAACCACCAATCCGTGCAGATAAAATCGCTGACGTCCTATATTTATCGTTATCGGCCTCTTCATAATTACTTGCACATAAATATCCTTCATGACACTGAATAACAATGTAACTCCTATTCAATTATTCCAGAAATCTTATTTAAAGTGTCTGTAATTAAGATATTCAAGTTATTAAAAATGCTCGAGTTTTATTTTAAAAATTTAGCCGTGACATATTAAGGATTTGTAGTTTGCACTTCAAACCTTCGATAATGCCTTATCTGAAAATGTTTATATTATTAATTTTTTCAATAACGAATTGATAAAATAAGACATACGAATTCACTCCAGTATATATTAAATACGGAAAGGAATTAGGTGAGTAAATTTAGTTTATTTTTCTTTATTCCTATTTGGCATACGATTCACATTACAATAAAGTTAATAAATAATGTCATTAATAAATTATTTTCCTTAAAATCAATGTTTTCAATATTCTCTTCAATTCGTTACTAACTCATTGTTTTATTATAAATATATTTAGTACAGTATTTTTTAAATATTACTTTTAAAACGAAACTATAACTTCATACATGCAGAATGATAAGAAAGTAATTGAGATTTTTGTATTTTATATAACGAAATTCAATTAATGATTAACTCAACACACATTTGTTTACTCAATAAACAATAAAAACCATTAATAACATCTAGCATAATTTGTATTCCGGCTTATTTGCAAACTATACACTCATGTTAGCATTTTATATCCATAAAGGAACGGTTTTATTAATCTTTAAATTTTTATTAGATAATTATTTAATTATTAAAGTATTTATTTCAGAAAATAATATATTTTTTATGGGAATGCTTGAAAATACTTGTATTTAATAGAAATGAAGCACGAATATGCAAGAAAACTAGTCTCTACGACATTATCTCGTATTGGATATCATATAGGATGCTATCCTCAAATATACGTTGCAGTCACCTTTATATTATCACTCGTTTTAGCAACCGGCCTATTGAATATTTCACTACAAAAGGAGGGAGAATATCTTTATATTCCATCCAATGCAAGAAGCTGGAATGACAGAGCAGCTATTGAATCGATTTTTCCAATCAACACGTCACAGTGCGATTATAGAAGAACGACAAGGTTTGAAGCATTCGCAGCAACAGTAGTTACGCCTAGAAACGGTACTTCTGCATTAGAGGAATCAATAATTGAAGATGTCATCAAACTTGACGAAATTATACGAAACGTCACTATCCTTTGGAATAACACATTCCTACGTTACTCGGATTTGTGTTGTAAGACGGAGAGGAATACATGCCATGAAAATTTTGTTTTGACTCTGAAAGGAAAAACAAATGATATCAAGAAGAGAAGATACCAAATCAAGTAAGTTCACATTTTGCCTATAAAATTTTAACTGTGTAATGTTCATAATGAATATGGCAGCTGTAATAAATTAAATAAGTTTAAATATGGTTTTCCCTATTTATAAATACTTTGCTTTATAGAAATTTGTGTAATATTGTAAACATTTCCTTAAATGAGAAAAGGTAAAGACATAGTTTTGTTTTTCGTGGGTTACAAAATACGCTTCACCAAACTAGTTTAAATACCTAAAACTTGTAAAAAAATAAAATACTGTACTTTTTAAATACCTTCTATATTATTTAATGGCGTATCTAGCATGGGTGGCACCCGGTGCGGATATTGTGGTGTCACCCCAAGAATGAAAACTGTTAAAATTAATAAAAATTCGATAAAACGTAAAGTATGATTTTATTTAATTAATACAAATAAGAGTCATTAATTATCAGTTACAATATTATGATAATGATAGTACAGTTTTATTAAACATTCTTTCACATTGATGTATGAAAGTGAAATTTGGTATGGATAAAGAAGTATGAGAGTAGAATTAATATACTCACATATACATATTATGTACAAACACTTAAAAGTTGTTCTTTCTAGCTTTAACAGCTGCAAACTCGGAAACCACATCTACAAAATTTATATTTTGTGTTGACTCGTGTTCTATTGTTAATATGCCAAGATTGTTAAGTCTTATTTGGGTCTTTGTTACCTTCAAGTAATTTCTAATTAATTTTAGTTTGCTAAAACTCCTCTCACACAAAGCAACTGATATGAAAATTGTCAGAAATAACTTAAGTGCGACCGTAAGATTCGGAAGAGATTCTGTAAAATTAAATTATTAAATATAGATAATTTGGTTAAAATGGCTTAAAGCCTAAGTGATTTATCGTTGAAAAACATTGCGATGGTTTGTTTAAGTTTTTATTTTTTTTCACGGTCGGGTGCAGGCCGCCCCCGCCGCCCCCATAGCTATGCCACTGATATTATTAATTACAACTGAAAGACCTAATTTTAAATATAAAGGTGAGTTTTTAAAATATCGTAAACGTCAATAACGATTAAAATTTTTATTGTCTTGCCCCATCTCAGATATGACACATCACCTCTCTCTGTTAGGTGGCAGCCTATCACTCTAGGGGACCCAGGCTCGAATCCGAACGGTGGTCCGTTCGGTTATGTCGGACCTCGTCCGTCACCACCCGGTCGCCCATTGTGGACCTGGCCGAACCCATAATGGGCTTGCATAAAAAGGCCCTCCTAGTGCCCACAGGGTGGAAAAAGTTAAAAAAAAAACAGAATAAATACCCGCATATATAATTTACTAGTTAAATTTCATTTCCTAACATTTATCCCATCGAAATATTAAATTAAACGAAATATAGGCCAACACATAAACAGAATTTCTCTTTTGATTTTTTGTTCGGGAAATCTCAAAATGTTAAGATTAGAACCAAAATGTTAAAATTTGAAACGATTCTAATACTTTCCGCTTTATATGGTTGTCAGGAAAGTAAAGTAAAAATAAGACGTCTATTTTATTTGTATTTATTTAATACTAGCTGCAAGGACCCGTTTCGCTGGGGTTTTATTTGTTCGTACATTTGTATGTAATACAGTTTTTGTTTTTTATATACAAAAGACTGTTTTTCTATGTAATCTAGAATTTAGCTGCAAGGACCCGCTTCGCTGGGTTTTTATTTGTGGGCAAAAAGTAACGATAGTAAAGATTAACATAATTACATTATAGCCAATCTTACCCGTTTTCACAGAGTGCAAGAATTAGGTCCTCCGTTTCCAGACTAATTAGAGTCCTGGTCCCGATTCTATTTCTGAACGTCTCCTGTTCACGTCCAGTCAAACGAACTATTTTCAACGTTTCTGGAAAGTTTACAATCGTTCTATAATCGAACCAATATTCGAATTTTATGTTCGAATTCAAATTCGAAAATTGTTCGAATTAAATTCGAACAAAATCGAACATAAAATTCGAAATAGAAAACCACTTTCAACCACTTTCAGCCCCATATCTCCCGTACCCTTATAGCTATCGAGATGCAACCATTATAGTGCACGAATGGACACTTGGGGCTACTACCACATAGAAACACCATTCATGTGCAATGTGTAGTTTTGGCTAAAAAGTGAAATATAGGGACACACACGTCCATTTATATGTATATATATATATAGAAGATTTAAATTAGTGTTGCAACGAATAGTACATTCGGCCTCAGGCCAAATACCGAATATTCGGCAAAACTATTCAGCTTGATTAACGCACATACGAAAATTGGCGCGCAAACCGCATTATGGCAAGGATCCTGCTCTCTATTGGCCCGCTATCACTACGCTTCGCCAATCGCGTTAATTCTTGGCAGTTGTAGCGGACAGACAAGAGCGTCATGGAAGTATGTGATAAATAATGATATCAAATGTGAATAACAATGAAATGACCTACACGTGTAAATAACGGAAAAAGAACAGAGAAGAACCGCGAAGTGAAAATGTGAAAATAAATATGAAATTGAGTTGATAACATAATCGAACAAGTCGAGGCAGCTTATTGGCACGAAATTCGCGGCCGTCAATGCCAAACAATTGTTGTCATAGACTTCGGAAAGCTAAATGCTTGTAATGAAAGTCACTTAGCGTGCACGGGCGAAAGCCTGGGGCCGTTCGGGCTATCAAGCTGTCTCGAATCTGTGAAATCATAACTGTGACTTATATCGACGTCCTATCTGTCTCTTTTCTCCGTTATCACCAGGCTGAGTCACGTAATTGTAAAATGGGAACTCTACGACGGAAAAGTGACGAATCGAAAGTATCGTGAGCGCGTATTATGATGTATGCACAGGCATACATGGATTAGAGCGATAGAGGAAAGAGAAAGGGAAGAGCAAAGACGAGCGCTTAAAAAGAAGGATAGGCAGGGTCAGACCCTCAGATGTGCGAGGATTCTCCAACGATAGACGTGTACGTGTGCTGATCTTTGTAATTATAAATTGTGAATACATGTGACTAATATTATTTTCTTTTTTATTTTGTGCATGTTACAAGTTATAAATAAATATAAACAAACAACACTAACTCGATAACATTAAATCTAAATACCAAAATGATTAATTTACTGTGTTTTTGTTATTTATTACTCCTGCTTTTAGGTATTCGGTATTCGGCCGAATAGTGATTAAATATTCGGTATTCGGCCGAATAGTGATTAAATATTCGGTATTCGGCCGAATAGTGAAAAATAGGCCGAATAGGCCGAATACCGAATAGTAACCGAATATTCGTTACATCACTAATTTAAATTTATTTATTTGCAGGTATCCAGCCGACTTAACTCGAGATAAAGTAATTGTTTCTGCTTTAGAATTCGGAGGAGTGACTGTAGATGAACAAAATATGATTCGAGATGCCAACGCGATTAGATTGCTTTATCTAATGGACCGCACCACGAAAGAAAAAAAACAAATGGCACTGATATGGGAACAAATGTGTTTAGAAACTTTGTCAAAAATTCAATTCAATAATAGTAAAATTTCTAAAATTTTAAGTCAGTCTGTAAATGATGAAAGTAACCGGATTGGAGAAGAAACTTTGCCTCTTGTCATCATTGTTGCTCCAATTATGTTGCTATTTTCAGCAGTTTCGTGCATGTCAACAGATTCTCTCAGTAGCAAACCGTGGTTGGGTTTAGCAGGATGCGCATCACCTTTCTTAGCAACTATTGCAGCATTTGGTGTACTGTGTTACTGCAAAACGGATTACATATCACTAAATGTTATAATTGTTTTCCTAATATTAGGTATGTTTTTATGAACTTCTATATTTTAAAAAATCTGATAATATAATGAAATAATGACGTCATATAATGAAAAAATTATCTGTTTCGGATATTTTTCGATTGTAATAATTATAATCTAATACTAAAGTTAAGTTTCTAATACTAAATTTTTTATAAATATCTCTCTATATACACTCATTGCCATAAACATTAGCGCACCAAGAAGAAGTTGTCGTATCGCTGCGAAACTTGGCAAGCAGATAAAACCAAGCAGATATAGAAATGCTCTCTAAAACTGCGTTTTCCTTGTCCTTTAAAAAAAGCGCTGAAAGACATCCTGTTTATAGTTTTTTTGTTGCAGGGGGACACTGTATCACTACAGATGCCTTTCCTTCGGAATTGAAGACCCTATGAACAAATAACCGAGTTTGAGAAGGGAAAGATCATCGGGTCTAGAGAAGCCGTATGATCATCTGGTGGAATAGCTCGCCATTTAAGCCATTCTGACAATACTGTGGGGAGGCGTTGAGATCAGTGAATGCCCAGTGGAGAGCTTGTACGCACTGCGCCCAGGCTCCGCACGCCCTCAACAGACCACTGACCGATAGGACGCCCAGTGCTCCGACAAACACGCACACAACTGATCGTATAGTTTTTCGCCATCCGGAAACAGGTGGCGACATCATTACAGGCTTCTGTGTCTCTCGATACCATTTGGATGCACCTGGCTGAGGAATATTTTGTATTGCGGTGGCCTTTACTCACCGTCTTCTCCGTTTGGAGTTTTCTCGCTCCCGGTGGGATTAAACCGGAACTGAATCCAGATTCTGTTTGGGCACTCCATAGCTGGTGTAATGGTCTGGGATGCAATCACATACGACACCTCTACAGTGATTCAAGGGACTATGACAGCTCAGCTGTATGTAGTTACATCCTGAAGCTACATGTGTTGCCCTCTGATGACAGGGCTCCCGAGAGCCACTTTCCTACAGGACAATGCTCGACCACACACAGCAAGTCTGTCATAGAACTACCTCCGCAACATTGCCACACGTCTTTGCCCTATCCGATCGAATAAGGGATCACCTGGGATGCCAAGTTGGATAGTCTAGGAGTTTGGCCGAACAGCTTGCTGCAACTATAGACTGAGATACTGCAAAACACCATACGACACTCGCACGCCTCTATGCCGCTTATATCACATCGTGTATTTCCGCTAAAGGTGGCCCAACAGGGTAATAGAACCTCCTTTATTTTGTAGTTCATCCTGTAATAAATGGGTTTTTTGCTTTCGTTTTGTAATTACTTACTTATATCACTTAAATTGTACATTTATGAGTGTAACGCTCACCCATGTACAATTTTGTTCGATTCTGACAATTTTTCATGATGCGCTAATTTTTATGGAAATGAGTGTATTATTACAGTCAAGTTTTCTTCAAAATTTAGCATTATTATTATCTCGTTTGACATAGACAACTACTTAATAATACTTATTATTTTTAATTAAAAGCTGTGTTGTGGAACAGTGCCAGATCGACATTTCAATTTATCTCCAGATTTTCCAAACTATTTTTATTTTAAGCACTTTTACACAAATCAGTTAGGACGCTGCTTATTATTAAAAGATTTAACTCGGGCTTAGCATATTGTTTCATAGACATTCGTTTGTTTGTTAAGTTATGGCAACGCAACACTTGGGTGATGCCTTTCGGGAAGTCTTTTAAAGATAACTGGCCCCTATTCAGGCGTTTCAGACGTGAAGAAAACCCGGAAAACTCCACTTGACAAGCCCGTCCTGGCGAGGGGCGAACCCACGATCGAACTCCCAGTATTCAGGGACCGAAACCGCTCGGCCACTGGTAGGCCCCATGGACACTCGTATCTAATATTAGAAAATTTCTATTCGTGGACAGCAAATAAAAATTCAAAAATTTATTAGTAATTTATCTGAATAATAATGAAATAATTATAATAAAACTATAAAAAAAATAAAATTAAGTTAATTAATAATAAATTTTTTATTTAAAAAATGATCAAATTTTCAAGAAACAAACGTTCGTATTGAATTTTGACTACTACTGACCAACTACCTATTGTTTAAAAGGCCCTCGGGTGGCGCAATAAGACGGATTTTAAAAATAAAAAGCAGTTGAAACCGCATTTTTATGAATAAAAATTTCACAAATTATTTATCGTTTTATGACGAGTAAAATTTTTTCGTCGCGTTCGCGGCTTTTAAGTAATGCATAAACCTTCGAGGCGCGAGGCGTAGGCGGTGGCCCACGTTGCCCATGCTTAACGCCGCCTTTGGTCATAGAAATGATGTAATTTGAAAATAAAATTATTTATAAATATGTCAAGTTATATTTTTATTACGACGCAAAATATATTTAAGAGTTTACGGCCACTGTGCCGGGTGAGACGTTGTTAAAACAAAAAAGGTAATGCATTCCATCACGTATATAAACAGTATCGTAATTCGCCAAGTGCAAATCAGTAAATTCGTAAAATTTTTGTCTTTTTTTAACAATCCGGATAATCGAAAATCTGGATAATAGAGGTCTGGATAATCGAGGTTATACTGTAATATCAAAAAGTATACATTAAAATTCTTAACTCATAAATTTATCATTGGAAACATTGCTGTACTTGTATCATTCTAACAATTAATTAATTTCAGGTGTAGGTATAGACGATGGTTTCATATTGATAGCTGCGTGGAGAAGAACTGACGTCAATGCTTCCGTTCCACATAGAATGAAAGAAACATATGCCGAAGCTGCAGTGTCCATCACTATTACGTCTCTGAGCAATTTTTTTGCTTTTTGTATGGGATTTGTCACACCTTACAAATGTATTCATATATTCAGCGCCTACGCCGCTCTCTCAGTCCTGTTTGACTATATTTATCAGTTATTCTTCTTCGGGGGTCTCATGGCATTAGATGGATACAGAGAGAAGCATAAGCTGCATTCTATCTTCTGCTGGCCGATCAAACGGAATCATTCTAGTAAGAAAACTTTTTGATTATAATAACTGTCACACATAAAAATAATATTATAGTTAAACTAAGAGCACGATTAAAACATACTATCTAACAAAATAAATATATATTATATACATATATAATTATTCAATGTAATGTGGTTGTTTTTTTATAGCTGAAATGAAAATACAAGTAAAGTTACAGGAGAAGAACAAAAAAAATCTCTTTATGGTATTCTTCGGTAATATTTTAGGTGAAATCCTCCAAAATATAATTTGTAAAGTTATTGTAATCGTCATATTTATTCTATATCTTTCGGGTGCAATATACTGTATGAGATTCATTCAAGAAGGAGAAAACGTAATTGAACTCTCTCCGTATACTTCTTACGCGCGTGACTATCTAAATGTTGAATATAAGCATTTTTCTAATTATAGTCATCAAGTGCAAATAGTCATTAACCAGACATTAGACTACTCGAATGTAACTGTCCAAAATGACATAGAAGATCTCCTGCAAAGTTTCGAGTCTGCTTCATTTATATCCGATTCGTCGACCACAGAAAGTTGGCTGAGAGAATTTCTGGCATTTACTAAATCTCCAGTTGCAGAGTTTTCGCTTTCTGGTTACAATCTGAGTGATTCCGAAGATTTTATTAGTGCTTTTAAAAATGTTTTCTTGAAAACTAAAGTAGCAAACAGACTCAGAAATGACGTCATCTTTAACGAAAAAAGTGATAAAATTACTGCATCCAGATTCATCTTGTCGAGTTTCGATGGAGAATCTCGAATTGACGAAAAGTTTTTCTTTGAAAATGTAAGAAAAATTGCCGATAAAAGCAAAATTCCTGTTATCGCATACAATTTTAGATTTATATATTATGAACTGTATATTAATGTCCTTTCAAATTGCTTAAAAGCCATCTCTTGTGCGGCCGCCATAGTGATTGCAGTATTTTTTTTATTTACCCCAAATATATTATTTCTTTTGTCTGTTGCCATTACTATTGTATCTATTCAGGTCGGATTGATTGGATACATGTCATTATGGAATGTGACTGTGAATACAACTGCATTAGTATCGTTAGTAATGTGTACGGGCTTTTGTGTAGATTACACAGTTCATACGGCTTACGCGTTTATCAATTGTAAAACGAAAACACCGAACGAGAAAATCAAGAGTTGTTTATATGCTGCTGGATTCCCAGTAACACAAGGATGTATATCAACGTTATTGGGTGTTTCGGTGTTATACTTTGGTCCTGCGGAATCGTTTGTCGTATTTTCTAAAATTGTAACGTTAATGGTAATTTTTGCTTCTTTTCATAGTCTGATTTTACTCCCTGTAATCCTTAGTCTGGTAGATTATATTCCGTTTAATTTTTTGAAAAAGAAAAACCAAAAAATTGAATACACTGAAAATTATAGGGAAGAAATTGAATGTTTAAATTCTAAAAATATATGATGTTTTTAAAGTTGATAATTTTTATTTATATCTTAGATTCTATTTTACTTGTAAAATGTAAATTTTGGGCATTTCGAACGAAAGAGTATTTGCATAATTTTTGTGTTTGATTGTATTCATTTCTACTATGTAAGTTATTCTCTAAAACACTTTAACGTTCAAATTAACATTTGAAACTTTTCGCAAGTGCAAATAAAATATTTAATATTATTTAATTAATCTATTGACAATTATTTGACTAACTTAATCGAGCCATTCAATTTTAACGGCTTTTTTCTAGTGCAATTAATAAGTTATAGATTTTAAAATATTCATATATGATGTATATCATATTTTTATTGAGAATTTAGTATATTTCGGTATTTACAGAGTAAGAGTATTTCCCATTCCGAAATTGTAAACCTCGTGAAGGGAACAAAATCAATGGAATCATACCTGTACATGGGATCCTTCATCAGACAGTCTCCTCCAAAACTTCACGTCATTTCGGGTCACATGACTCTACGCTTATAAGGGGATGCCGCACTTTGATGGGCGCACAGACAGCGCGCCCATCAAAGTACGGCAAGAAAAAGAAATATGCCTTTTGCACGTGACCCAACAGCATCTTCCGTTTTGCATATCATTAACATTTTCTAAGATATAACTTTATACGATTTTCTTCGTTACCTTCTCATCGAAAATTTTGCCATTTCGTGGGGCTCGTGCTTTGTCCGGACCTATTCGGATTTGTGCCATTGCAGAGGTAAGCTTTAATTGATTTTTATCTGAAAAGGTGTCGTATGCGGTTAACTTTTCCACTTTTAACATTCAAGGTATTACCCATTATTAACAGTCATTTCATGCCAATTATACTTGGCTGCGTTGCGGTGCAATACGTTTGTCATAATTTTCGGGCGCGATGCGCAAGGAACCGGCTCAATCTGACATGTTCAAATTCTTTGATCACTATGAATAGTTACAAGAAAAGAAGATGAGAAGACGGCTGGCGGCACCGTCGGATAGGCCCGTGTGCACCCGTAGCCTCGCCTGCACCTACAACATTTTTTAACCTTTCAACAGTGGAGTAGTCAGACTTGGCGCTACCACTTAGTTGTGGAGAAGAGTGGGAAAATTTTTAATCCATTACGATTTTTTCAAAAGTTTTCAATTTATTTTCAATTTTATATAATTTTTTAAAGTTTCGTGCATTTAAGTCATGACGATTTTTTCCAACCTGCGAATCAAATTCAAGAAAATGTAATTGACAGATAACGAATTTCATCCACGATTGAAATGATAAAAATAATGACAACTTCAGTTAAAGAAAGGAATCTAATCCTTAAGAAATTTTGGATGAACCGTACTAAAATGGAGAATAAAGAAAAGTACATTGTCATAAAAACAGATTTATGCCTTAGATCTAGAATTATGAGGAAACGACTACTTACAAGTTAATAAGATTAAGGTAGAAATGGCAGAAAATATCAGAGTACGTATAAGAAACGATTACTATATAAAAGATAATCACGTATAAACACTTGATATGGATACTAATGAATTTATATTAGTAAACCATTTTTTAGAACAAATAACCCAAAAAACCCGGACAAAATAATAAAAGCAATAAATATACAAAATGATAATCAGGGACATAATCATATAGAAACAAATGAAAAAAATGTGAACGGAAATAAATTGATTTCCGAAAAAATAATTTTAAAACGATTAAATTAAGATCAAAGAAAATACATAATAATGTATTACAGTAGAGCCTCGAAAACTCGGCACTCGATAGCCCGGCACTCCGGATAACTCGCCACATTCTGGCAGGGCAAAAAAATCCTTAGTTAATTAATTCTCATGATAAAGACAGCTTTATGCCTCATAAAGTATTTTTCTCAGGTCTGTCTTATCAGGTAAATTACTGTACACAGTGTATTCATTAATTTTCATTTTCCTGTAGTAAAGGCTCTATGCCTTCATAAAAGACGTACTTTTCCTTTGTTTAAGGGTATTTGGGCAGTTTATTCTCTGTTGTATTCTCAAGTAAACAATACATACAAGTACAGTACAGTATTTTCTGAGGAAACACTCGTACTTATTTTTTTTAACCCCATTCCCGATAAACCGGCATTTTCACAAACTCGGCCACCCTACGGTCCACATTAGGCCGAGTTTTCGAGGCTCTACTGTATTCAGTTTTTGAAACTGTCAAGGAATCAAAGGAAAATTCAGACAATATCAATGAAAAAATTTATAGATTCGAATGAAATTATAGGAATAACTGAAACGTGGTTAACAACTTTGAATTTGTCGGATAAAACTTATTTAAAACAAGAAAATAATATATTAATCAGTAATGCATACCGCACAAGTAAATTCGGCCGTCCTTCGGGATGCATGTTACTTTTAATCAAGAAAAGTCTTGGTGATATTTTATATCAAACTATAAGTAAGAACTTTATACTAGCGATAATAGAATTAAAAGACGATCTAAAAAAATGCTTGGTACAAACTTTATTTAGGAATAATAGTAACATATCTACATTCAACGGTGGAAAAGAAACCAATATTAGGCCTAAATGAAATTCAATATTATCTAAATAAGTGGGATTTTTTACTCACCTGTGGATGATCGGAGGAAATTTTAACTCACGTATAGGAGAGATGTCGGACACGAAGATTTTTCAAAATTATGAAAATATGAATAATAAAAGACAATATAAAGATAAAATATTAAATAGTGAAGGTAAAGCTTTATTAGAATTCGTGAAAATCAATTGGTAATCCTAAATGGAAGAGTAGAAGGAGGTGTTCCTGCAGAATATACTTATATATCGCATACAGGAATATACATCCACGATTGTAGATGACGTAACGGTTGTTATGTTTACAACTACGACGCCTGGCGGCCTTACTCCCTGGACTGTAAAGTGGGTGAAGGTCGTCTCGTGTTCTACTTTCTGTAGAAGTGACGTAATCATTGTAAATAAAAGAAAATTTTTAGTATATCTTTTATTTAATTTTAAATTTTATTGTTCAAATTTTCAACCAAATATTAAAGTGGTTTAAAGCATTAGCGTTTGGTAAATATACTTAATTTACGTATAACAAATAAAAATAAAATTTTAAGAAAGAACAAAACAATCAAAAAAATGTTGAAATATTTTTATATATTCATCGTCAGATTTATTACATATGTTAAATTAATTCACCGGTATTTAATTTTAAAACAATATTCATCATTGGCATGCATTAGAAAAGAAACTACAGTAGAGCGTCGGTTATCCGAAAGAATTCCAGTCGGCCTAAAGTATAATTTTTATTTGTTTTTATATTTTTCAATGTATTTATTTCGTTTGTAAAACAAAGAAATCATTTTTAACGATACAATAGCCACGATTATTATTTTAAAAGGTTTACGTTAGGCTTAACATCGACGAAAATTCAACGCGAAGCGACACTCAACGGAAAAAAATTTCAACACGGGATAGGTTAATATATTGTTTCGTACATAATCGGTTATCCAAAAAATAAGTTATCCGAACAACCTCAATCTCCAATTGATTCGGACACTGTACTGTATAACTTTTGTAAAAGACACTTCCCCCAGAGGGTCCGATCCACTCTGAAAAAGTCGACAGTCTACGTCACCAATCTAATGTGTGACCTACTTTCTCTAACAGTAAAACGCAGTAAGTTACAGTACAACGACACACATAAACACTAACCATAATGATCTTGTTTTGATCATTATGGTTAGTGTTCTTCTTAAAAACAAATTCTTAAAGTTCTTCAAAAATCCTCCATTCGGTCTTTGATATAGTTCTACGTAATAGCACTAAATCGGTAGAGATTCTACCTAACAGGCTTGTAAACAATAAAAAACATAAATGTTTCGAAATTAGGACTAGATAATTATATGCGAAATATATTAGTAAGCCTATAATACATACTCTCACTTATATCCAAGTATTATATCCAAAGATCAGTTCTCGGAAATTGTCGAAAATTAATTATTGATCAACTTTATAAACACTAAAAAACATAACAATTTTTCAATGGCTTTCGAACAAAAATGGCTTAGGTACAATTGATGGAAAACACGTTATTATAGATGTTCATATAATACAGGAAGCTTAAAATTTAATTATAAAAAAAAAAAACTTCAGTGGCGCTTTGTTAGAATGTAATGCTTACTATCGTTTTGTGTTTGTACACATTGGAGCTAGAGCGATGGGGAAATTTTTCTAGATAGAGATCATGCTGTCTATGCCAAAATAAATTTCTTTTACCGGAGTCTGGAAGGCTACCAAGAGATGTTGAACTTCCTTACTTTTTCGTGAGTGATGAAGCATTTCCATTCACAACGTGTCTGATGCGGTCATACCCTCGAACAAGTAAAAATTTAAGGTAAAAGAAATAAATTTCAGTTACCGTTTTTTTAGAACCAGACCAGTGTATGCAAATTCGTTTTGGATCTTAAATAGTAGATGGAGAATATATAAAAGACCACTTAAATTAGGTGAGGGAAACATCGATAATGTTATAAAAGCTACAATATGCTTACATAATTATTTGATGACAGGACCATCAAGAAATGAACTTTGCCCTGTTGGATTAACTGACACGTAAGATTGGCAAGGTAAGAGTTGTATCAGGCTAATGGAGAAAGTAATGCAAAATAAAGTAAAATAAATAGACTTTGTGCAAACCATTACTCTCAAAAATCAAATAATATTAGGAAATATTTAACAGGATAAATGACAGAGCACAGCCTTGGCAAAATACTGTCATAAATTAAATATTTACTGTTATAAAATATATATATTAATTTTAAATTTTTAATCGTAACTCATTTTTGCACATTATAAGTTTTCGAATATTGAATATTTTGATTTTCATATGAAATGTATTTGCTATATAGAAATTTTAAGATCATATAATTAAATAATTTTTAGTTTATCACTGCAAATATAATGCCATATATAATGATAATTACATTATACATGCCAATAATTACTTAAATGTTATCAGTCAAATTTTATTTATACAGAAGTAACTATGATGTGATCATAACTGTGTTAATTAAATTTATTGTTTTGATTGGTTTCTGAGCTTTCTCCAGTTTTTCTTCTCGGATCAGATATTTAATGCTACTGTTTATTCATTACAGAAAGCATTTTTTCCTATCAAATTTTTCAAGTCTTAAACTGATATTATTCATGAAAAAAACACCTCATCCTGGCTAGTGTCACTTTCTTCTAATTATTTTTTATGCTGCTTGACGTTTGTTTTATCATCTCTGCTAGATCATCATCATCATCATCATTTCTTTTCTTTTTCCTAAATTATGAAATAAAAACAAACATTTTAGAGAGTATTTCAAGTATTTATTAAAACGTTAAAATTATGAAACAAAATATATATAAGTTATTACTGGATTAAAATGGGATATAAACAGATGGTTGTGGTGATACATATAATGCACTTTCACCCGTACAGTACATTCAGGCATGCTAAAAATATTAAACTGTATGTAATTTATTGATAATAGTATATTTAAGGACGTAGTGAAATAACACTTTCATTCTGTTTGTGAGCTTGCGTTTATACCTTAACAACAGTCATGAAGGTGACTGTCGATAAGGTATAAAGCTATCATTTATCCAATTACTTTGCTTTCCCTGTCCGTTTTGTTTGATTGTGGATGATATGAAATTTTCAGGATGTCCTTAATTCTCAGTTGTTCACAGGCCTCCTGAATTGAAAAAGAAATTGGGTTACATTATCCGGTATAAAAACTTTTGATTAGTGATGTAACGAATATTCGGTTACTATTCGGTATTCGGCCTATTCGTCCTATTTTTCACTATTCGGCCGAATACCGAATACCTAAAAACAGGAGTAATAAATAACAAAAACACAGTAAATTAATCATTTTGGTACTTAGATTTAATGTTATCGAGTTAGTGTTGTTTGTTTATATTTATTTATAACTTGAAACATGCACAAAATGAAAAAAAATAATATTAGTCACATGTATTCACAATTTATAATTACAAAGATCAGCACACTTACACACCTATTCGTTCGAGAATCGTCGCACATCTGAGGGTCTGACTCTGCCTATCCTTCTTTTTAAGCGCTCGTCTTTGCTCTTCCCTTTCTCTTACCTCTATCGCTCTAATCCATGTATGCCTGTGCATACATCATAATACGCG